CCCCAAAACCCCAAAACCCCAAAACCCCAAGTAGAAACATTTTAAAATATAGGTGTGTTTAAGGCAAAGAAGATAAATTCAATAATTAAATAAAAAAGTTAAATTCTAATTAGGTCTGAGCTTAAAAACTAATTTGATGAATCTTAAAACTTAATTGAAATTTATTCAATTATACATAATAGAAATGAAAACTATTTATAAGTATTCTCTCTTCAAGTCTTTTAGAGTTTAAAACCTAAATTTAACATTCATTTTCTTGATAGTGCTAGGACTCACACCAATAAACACAAAGACAGAATAAGATAATTTAAAATACAAAGTATAAATACATAACGTGGCAGAAGAATAAATAAGGAATAAAGGATTAGCTTTAAGTGGGCATCTAGATTAATCATACAAATCAGAGCCACCATTTTAAAGAAGGTAACTTGCCACCAATACATCAGCTCAGGATTTATATACATGTGGCTAATGCATTGACAATAGATTAGATTATTGTTAGCCAAAGTCTAAGGGCATATTTTTCTTGGATACCAAAGGAGTATGTGAGGACAGTTCGATTCTCAAAGCTCTGTACCCCACTTCTCCATATTACTGCTCAGATCAATTTTACACTGTTTCCACTTATGAGTTTTTTGCTTACTTCCCATGCCCTTTCTTCACCCAGAAATGCGGGATGAATACAAATATTCTCAATATGACTGAGAGCGAACAAAATATCGAGACATCTCTACTGGAATAGGGCGACGTTTGCGTATTTGAAATAAATTACAAAGAGGTAGACAATAATCTTAAGATCTGGCCCACCAAGTTAAGTAATGTTGAAGTTACGATCGCAGATGGTTTCAACAAGCATCCTTACTAGATCGTCAGCAACTTTACCTTTATTAGTTTACTTCTGAAGGATGGAGATGAGTTCGAGGTAGGTGATGCCTGGTATAATATGACATATGGAGGTAAGGCCTACTTGTTCATAAAAGCTACTTCTACTTATGGATAAGCGAAGTTCACATATGGTTAGAAGAATCTAATTCCATAATGGGTTATAATTGTAATCATAGTCGGAAGTGTAGTGGTTGGCTTAGGCTGTCTGGCAATCTGTTTCTGTTACGTACGTCGTTTGTATATAAAGAAAAGATCACAGTCTAAGGTATAAAAGTTCGGTGGCAGGTAGGAGACTATAGAGGAAAGGATAAGCAAGTATAAATATAAGGGAAACAGTTAAAGAAATACCCTAATGACTTAGAACTTTGGGCCGCAAGAGAAGGCATTTGACCCTGATTTTGATTACAATGACAAAGAAAAGCTACAGGCTAATTAGCCCCTATAATAGAATTACGATTTCAGTAATCTACAAGACTCTACTCAATCAAATATAGTAAATTAATACCAGAATAATAGCAACGACAACTATTAACTTCCAGGTTAATTATGATCATCGTATATATAAAATATTGACACCTTAAGCAGGATTTTATATGATACTGATAATGAAATTATATATGTATTTAATACAAGCAATTTTATATTTGTAAGTAATAATTTTCGTAAATATTCTCAAATTTCTAATTATATGGGGTTTTGGGGTTTTGGGGTTTTGGGG